CCTCAATCACATTATAACAGAATCAAAACAAAAGCTAGCGGCATCCCACATCGATCACTGAATACGTCTTCACTCCGTTTACCCGCGCAGTTTGCGCATATACGTATCATTTTTCACAGTTTCATAAATCAGTGTTAGTAGGTACAGATCAATCTTTTCGTTCGTATCTTCTTGTTTCCTAGTATGTATCGTTTTGAAATTGTGTTTTTTATATCTAGGGTAAGTACCTGTTTGCTTTGTATATGTACAGTTTTAGTTTTTGGTCATGTAATTCTTTTTGCCTATCATTAACTATCACTGTTATGTTGACTATTATTTTTGGATATCATTACTTTATTGCTTATTCATTAAGTGATTCTCACGACGATTGATAAGTGTCTATGTTCCACGGTTCAATTAGAAAAAAAGAACTAAAAAGCAAATAATAGTAACTATTCCTCTTTGAAATAAATTCGTAAAGAAACATTTTCCAATCGTTTCTTAGATAAACATTGCCTAATTTTCAATAGTTTTATTGCTCTCATCATACCATCAATTCAAGTATTCTTATCTATAACTCTGTAGTGGGTAATTCTACATTAACCTCTATCTGAGTTTAAGAAACTAATTCCTATTGCTAGGATTTTGGAGTCCACTATGGCTTGGCTGTGTTTTTCCTGCTAAACCGCTCCAACTCTTCAAGAAGATACAGCCATGTAATATTGAAGTGATAGAAATTGACAGGTTAGATAGAGTCTAGGAATTATTTTTTTTCGGCTTACTTACATAATTATTTGACGAGGAACTCGATTAGTTTCAAGCCACTCGCAGTAGCCAGTAGCAGCGCGACAATCGCCGCGTCGCGGGTCACGAAATGCTGATCATGAATATGAGCCTCTAGCATGGCTTGAAACTAGTCGAGTTCCTCGTCAAATAATTACGTAAGTAAGCCAAAAACATAATAATTTAGAGTCCAGGAAGTCTATAAAATAAAACGCAAAGATATCCCCAAAGCTATCACATTTAATTCAGGACTGCTTGGAGGTTTACCGTGTGGAATAACTACCGATAAGCCGTTAGATGCACCACACTTAACTTGTCCGTAAAAAAGGAAAGTCCATTTAATCCTAGTTTTATTGCTTAAGACATCCTATATAGGTTATCTTTAACGAATATTACCTACACATGTTAAAGTGAATGAAGATTTTCTTATTGACGAGTTTTATATAATAAATCTGTTCTACAACTGCTATTATGAAAGATTTATTTTATAGCATCGCTAGGTTAGTGGTTTTATCTTTGATTGCTGATTTTGATAAGACTTTGACCGGAAAAAAAACATACAGATGAATTGAGAACCTCTCATTTTTTAGGAAGGCAGTTAAAAAGGTGGGACTTTAAAGTTGTTACTGCCTCGTTGGCCGAGTGGTCGCAATTGCGACCTTACCCGGCGGTAAGGGGTCTCGGGTTCGATTCCCGGATCGGGCAAAGTATTACTGGGTTTTAAAAAAATTCTCAGAAGTAGCACGGAGTCTGGAACTGTGCCCGGTATATGGCAATAGGCTCACCCCCTATTACATGGGACTCATAACATAAATAGTGAAAAGTGGGTGTTACATTGTACAGTGGTGTAATGTGCACCTCTGCCTACCTCTTCGAGGATAAAAGGTGTAATGTTATGTTATGTTTAAAGTTGTTACGGATTAACGGAAGTAAAAAGAAAGAGGTAGGTATTCTCTTTTAGGTACGTGAATAAATTGATAAAATCACATATTCTCACTAAAAACGTGAAGACATAACTAAATCTGTACCTAAAAATCAAAGTGTGACGTACGTGCCCAATATCACTTCCCAATCTTCTTGTATCGTTACGTGGGTGTGTTGACATTTGCCAACAACTGCCAGGGTTAGGCGATAGGGTTACAAATATTTACCGAAATTTCGAAGCTTTTGCGCGTCAACTTCTTTTATGGTATCATCACTTTATTATATTTCTGGTTCAAACTCACTTTTATAATATAGTACTTTTACTGACTGATGAGTGTTAGACCAAATCTTATTTTAGTTTTTTTTTATATTTTGTGTACCGACGTTTGACTATCTATCACTATCTCGCTTCACCAAGCTTACCACCGTAAGCGATGATGTGGTCTACGATGGAGCGCATCGGCCCATAAGCAACCTATATACTCGGGCCTTGAAGACACCCAGGTTATACCCTTCACGAAATGTATTTCGCGAACAGAGTCTGTAGACTCTGTTAAAAAATTCCACTCCTTAGCAATACGCACAATGAAGCTTGATGGGAAGCGCTTTGCACGTGTGGGTGAGGTATCGGGATATCTACCATAAATCGGTATTAGTAGGTACTTGGACCGTAGTTTGGTTTTAACTCCGTTCAGTCAAAAGCACCTAATTGAAATTTAGTCTTAAAAATTCTTAGTAATAGCACTGAGTCTGAATTAATGCTCTGTTTCTTAAATCTCTTATTATGATAATATGAATATAAGCAATGGTCTATAGGTATATATTTTTCGGAAAAACAAGCATAGTACTTTTTTATAATTGGACTGGACTCAGTTTCTCGCTTTAGTTAACCTTTGTGAGAAATGCAAATAAACAAAGAACAGAGATCGTACAAGTTTTGAAAAAAGTTTGATAATGAAAAAAGTTTTTAGCTTTAGTTGGGAATTATATCTGCTCCGTGGTTTATTCTGTAGACGTATTTGAAAAACAACGAATTGTATGCAGACCAAACTCATTTATTTCCACTGAGTTAAAAAATATTTTGTGTTTGTTTAAGGCTTTGCTTCTTTCTTCTAAATAATTGGCTAGTTTCCTAGGTTTTAAAATAATTGTTTAGACTTTTCAATGCAATAAATAATTAAAAATAATCACGCTCTCATTCATTGATTTGACAATTTACCTACTTTTTGATTTATTTCTCGCTAATTTAAAGGAATTAAGTATGCTATTTGACGCAGAAATATGATGACGTCATAATTTGCGATCCAATACAAAATTCATAGAAAAGTATCGTTTTTGACATTTGAATAAAAGTATTGAATTTAACTACCTGTCAACTACCGTATTGCTTCACATATTCGTTATCAATAAGAACATAGGAACATATTCAAACTAAGTCAGAAGTATTTTTCTTTCTTCTGTAAATCAACATAAATGTTCTAATCACAACAAACAAAATAAATTGCTAAAATAATTATTCATCTTTTTTAAGCCCATAACACAAATCGAGAAAAATTAAAACAAGTAATAAATTATTATATCAGTTTATTAATATGATTTAAACCATGACGCAACAGATCGTGCATATCAGATAAATAAACTCTGTTTAAATAAATTATATATATATATTAGAGGTATATTAAAATTAAAAAGCAATACAGATTCACAGCTCTAGTTAAGTTGTACTTCAATAAATATAATATCACAATTAAAAGTATAAAACAGACTAGAAATAGAGATCTTTACTTATAATTAAAATTCTATTTCTATACAATAATAATTAATGTGTTCTATAACAATGAAAATATACTTATGGATACAATATAGACAATTCACTAAAATTGGTATAAAAATAACATACATTGTTATTTCTATATTATTTTTCCATATATGTATAAGTTAATGATATCAATACAGATAAATAAAATTGGTTTATTATAATATTTTGTCTGTCTGTCAGTTTGTACTGGCTAATCTATAGAACGACTAGACCGATTTTGCAAGACTTTTATTAGCAGGTAGCCGATGTACTAAGGAGTAACCACAGAACATATAAAGGTAACATAGGCTATTTTTATTTTAGGAAATTGAGACAAAAAACGGAATTATGTACTAAAATTCATAGTCATATGTATCTATAACTGCTGAATACACTAATGCAATCAATAAAATAACGAAACGAACTAATGAATTCGTCCACAATAATCATATTTTCTTCAAAACTATATTCAATTCACTTAGAAAGTTATTCAATTCAATAAACTAGATACTGATTGCCCAAATTGTATCCAAAGCTAGCTATATCTTTAAAGCTAAAACAGATTTAATGGAAACATCGAAATCATCTAAAACGCTTACAGCATAAAATGCAACGAACGATCTAAAATTAGAAGAATCTAACAACCACTTAGCAACTATTTATATGTGTGATAAAATCAGAAATTTATCTAAGTAAGCGTAAAACAGTATTTATTTACGTACATGTGAGGTTCACTAAGGCAATGACAATACAACACCTAATTTGGTGTGAAAAGTTAACTTTTGTAATATAACTATCATGTGACGTATAAAATTAATTAGATTGTACGACAAGACAACAAGTAATCATTCTACGAGATGCCTCGACTAGTTTCAAGATACGCCCGGAGCCCAACAACGTCGGCTGCATGATCATTATCGCGCATACCGTTTTTGACTATGGGCCCCTAGTAAGCTTGAAATGAGTTGAGTAACATGATCAGACAGTTGCTGGATTAGGCCGTACAACCTAATTAACGTAGATTTTATCAATGTATATACAAATGTCTTAGTAACGACGAGTATACAATGGACTAGAAAGATACGCAAGTATAAAAGGTCAGTAAAAACACTACAGGGTCCAAGTGTATAATACAATAATAGTTACTTTTTTAATATTCACACGTAATATTGTCACTACATCTTTCTTGAAATCGCTTGCGATTTTTTCTTACATCTAGTACACGTATAATAAATATCTATGAGATACATTTAAAACCGTCTATTAATACTTAACTAGAATTCGGAGGGTATTTGGTCACCCACTACATTTAACATGTTTTTCTTAAGAGTTTAAGTTCTAATATTATTAATATAATAATTTCTCAAAACAATAATGACTAGACTATTAAAGAAATCTATGTGCTTGGCACAAAATACATTTATATTTGTGAAATTAGTTTCCCTATAAACGTTTCTAAAGTTACAAAATCTGTTTAGACCGGGCAGGGAAAGTCAGTAAGCGCTCCTTTGTCATTTCAGTCTTCATTTTTTATTTTCGTTTTCGTGCATTTGTTGACACCATCGTTGGTGATCACACAGCTGTTGAATCTGTTTACAACATCTCGTACCTTACCTTTGCTTATCACCAGCTCCTTATCATAAGTTGGAGTTATCAAACCCTTTTCGTTTCCATTGCATAGCGGTTTGTTGGTTGTCGTGACAAAATGTGCGCTTTGAGACTTCCGAAATTCTCTGACGGCGATGTCTATGTTGTTTATCAGGTCTTTGGCAACGAATGTTGCTATCTCATGTTTGATGCGATCTCTTCGCTCTGTATCTCCAGTGGTCGGTGGTTTTCTTTTGTTTCTGGCATGTTCTGTTCAGGGCTGTGACTTTGTGTTAAAGAATGGGATGCAGGGCTATCTGGACCCTGGAACGTGATGCTTGGATTGTTCACCAAAGTGCTCTGGACATGGTTAGTTTGTGTGTAATAACATTCTTGATTTTGTGGCTTTTTCTCTCCGATCAGCCAGTAAGTTACCATTTTGCCTTTGCCCTGTTAACAAAATGAAAGAAAAATTATAATGACAGCAATTTTGAGTCCGTCTATACCTAATTAATAAAGTTCATAAGAATTTGGGAAAATTAATTGACACGGAAATAGATAGATGATTACAAATTACAAACAGACGTAATACTCAAAGATAAATAGTGAAAATATTCTCATTTATTATTAGATCTGAATCCATCTATCTTCCTTTAAATCTTGGAAGTCGATTTGTTATGAAAATTCATAAGACGACAGTTGAACAAGACAAAGCGCTGTTTATTATGCTAGCCTTTGACATGATAAAGAGTATACGGAAATATAATGTCAGTTTTACTACAATGTCTTATGAAATTTATATTTCCATTTTCATGTAGCTTTGTATTTGTACCTACAATTTGTTTTATCTACAGTTTCATGTATTTAGTTCGAAAAAATGTACTATTTCACTAAATAAATCTAGCCGAGCAACCAGCCATACCAAGGAGTTCTAAGACCCGAGTTCATTAGAGATTTTTGATACCCAAAACTTCAAAAAAGGGATCAATTTTCGAATATTTTCACCAAGTGCACAATCTGAAATTGACACCAAAATATAAAAACCTAAGGGTCTCGTCATCAACCGAATCATAAATAAATAGCAATAATTGATACACCTGCATATATTTTTAGCAAAGTGAAGCTATTATTAGTATCATGAAAAATGAAATATTATTAGGAATTAAAAATGATGAAAAGGAACCAACCTTCATAGAGATTTCTCCTCGGCATTCCAGTTCAAAGCAGTCGTACAAATCCAGAACCTCTTTGTCTTCGGGCTGACATGAATCTTCAAAGCTTCTCCGTGTGACTCCATCCGTGATGCTGTGTTCACTGTGTCTCCGAAGAGACAGTACCGAGGCATCTTCAGACCCACCACTCCTGCTACGCAAGGTCCTGGGAAAGAGAAAAATGGTTACTAAACACTCCAGATACAGTAAAATGGCATTCTATCTGCTGCAATTTAGACTCGTAAATAGTGTGGGAGAGCCATGCTTCAGCACGAACGGGCTGGCTCGACAAATTGATACCACGGCCTCACAGAAAACCGACGTGAAACAACGCTTGCGTTGTGTTTCGTCGTGTGAGTTAGGTACCGAGGCCCAAAACCAATCCCAATCACCCCTGAATCCCCTACAATCCCCAAAATCCTAATCCCCAGAAGGCCGTTACAGCACTTGTAACGCCCTGGTGTTCCAGATGTCCATGGGCGACGCCAATTGCTTACCATGTGATCCGTACACCCGTTTACCGTATATCTCATAAAAAAAGAAGATCAAGGTCTTCTGAAAGCCATTATAATTATTTTCATAATGACACAGGCGTGTTTTCACAATTAACTTTCAAACAAAAATATAATATTTAGGCAAGTTTTAAATATAAGTTTTAAAATAATACCTATCTATTTCTTAAAGTTATGTAGAGTTATTTTAAAAATCATAACACAGGTTTAAACACAACCAAACAAAAGAAAGAAACTTAAATAATTGTACAACACTACCTTCTGTGTAAACATCAACTACAATTTGTAGAATAATATTTTACAACTACTGCTAGCAAGTTTTTGTCAAATGTAGAATGTATTTTGCACCTGTGAACGTTAAATTATGGGTGGTATTATTATTCTGTTACAAAGAGACCTCACAATAGACCTTGTCTGAAAAGATGGCCTTAATGTAATTTAGACCTTTGAACGCTCTTGGCCTCGTGAAACAATTTATGAAGTTATGTGTTTTATTCATTGCCTCGTTGGCCTATGTTCGCAAGTGCGACTGCCGGGCATAGGGTCTCGGCTTCAATTCTTCGAGTCGGCCAAAGTATAACAGGCTTTTTAAAAATATTCCCTGTATTAGCACGAAGTCTGAAATTATGCCCGATATATGGCAATAAGCTCACCCCCTATTATATGAGACATATAACAAAAAATATGGGTGGGAGTTACATTGCACAATGGGATTAAGTGCCTTAATGTGTGATGTTATGTCATGTTTTATTTACTGTGCAGTAAAATTAAATACAAATATAAAATAACTAAATATTTTAAATCCATAAACGTAAATCTATGTTTTTTTTCTTAATAGATACTCTAGGAAGCTACTCTATAATGTGATTTTCGTGTAGGGACATAGTTATGAGGATAGTGAGTTTTCGAGGCTGCCTTTTGCTTTGGCCATTCAAGCAAATTTGCGACACAAATCGTTAGTTTTAGATATTTTAATGTGACATATATCTAATTACATATATCTGGAGAAGGAAAGTTCGAGATAGAGATAACTGGAGGAAACTGGGGGAGGCCTACGCCAAAGAGGCGACTTCCACAATACATTAGTTGCATGTTTTAGAAATACTAATAATATTTACCTATAAAAAAATCAATATACATCATATATGCAAACAAATTAATGAAAATGAAATAATATATTATACTAATATAATAATTGGAATATTGTAAGCATGTTTTGTGGTAAAATAAAGGCTATTTTTATTTTATTTATTTTATACATGTTTAATTTTAATTACTCCGAACCTTCAATAAATAATGTCACACATGTATATTGAGAGAAGTGAGCTATTGTTTGAGCCTGTTTAATACTCGATACCCAAAAAGGCTCCAGGAAGACATAAAATTAAACTCTACATAGCCTATAAGCCCCGGCTTTGCCCGACAAAACACACCGAAGCTATATTTAAGTATAAGATAAATATTGAGGGGAACTGTCATCAAATATTCATGTTATGTAATATCAAATCACGCCAGTTTCACCTTGGGAGGTAGATAGTCGACATATATATTTAACAGTATACGCGCTTTCCAAATAGTGCTATTCATCTCGCTGTCGGAGCAAATACAAGTTACAAGTGCTTTACCGGCCTTTTGGGGATTAGGAGTTTGAGGTTTGTTGGGGATTCGGGGATTGAGGAGATTGAAGAAGGGGGGAGAGACCTGGGCCTCCAGTAACCTCACTCACACGACGAAACACAACGCAAGCGTTGCTTCACAGCGGTTTTCTGTGAAGCCGTGGTATCCCTCCGATCGAACCGGCCCATTCGTGCCGAAGCATGGCTCTCCCACACTTATACTTTGAAGGTTTAAATTACATTTCTTATTTTGAATAACTATCCATATTTGGGGCGACTTTATAGCTTTCTATTAAAACATGAGTTTTATTATTTAGATCAAGCTTTGATAAATGTGTAATTACATCAAAGTCAAAGTTGCATTTTGTAATTTATATATCATATTTTATATATATTTTTTGAATTATATTAGAATAACTAGCTACTTCCGCGCGGTTACACACGCTTTGCTCAGCTCCTATTGTTCGTAGCGTGATGTTTTATAGCCTATAGCCATCCTCGATAAATGCAATATTCAACACAAAAAGAATTATTCAAATCAGACTTGTAGTTACGGAGATTAGCGCGTTCAAACAAAAAAACATAAAAACAAACTCTTCCGCTTTATATAATAGTATAAGAATAAGATATAATAATATAAGATTTGTATAGTATGTTTAGTATTTTATACAGTTATTAAATATTGTATACATCGATATCAAACTCCTATTACTGCTCCATCCAAAGGTTGTCTGTAAGAAATCGCCTTGCGCGATAACACCGCTCATTGTTATATTATATTTGTTAATGTTGTCCTATAATTTAATTGTGGGTGTAGAACAAAGGACCATAATCATCAACCGCCTGTGTTCGTCCACTGCTGGACATAAGCCTCTCTAATAACACGCCATACAAGTGGTCTCGGGTTCGAGTCCCGGGTTGAGCAAAGTATAATTGGGTTTTTAAAAAAACCTCAGTAGTATCATGGAGTCTGGAAATATACCCGGTACATGGCAATAGGCTCACCCTCTATTACATGGGACTTATAACATAAATAGTGAAAAGTGGGTGCTACATTGTACAGTGGCATTAAGTGCTGTAATGTGTATGTATCTCTGCCTACCCTTTCAGGGAGAAAAGGCGTGATGTTATGTATGTAAATTTTGTAGACCTTACTACATTACTAACATGCTCATATCAGACTCTCTCTATACCTAGTTTCTTATGAGCTAGTTTCTCTATTAAAATATATGAAAGTATATTTTTCGTATCATAACATTTCATAGTTACTGGTTATATTATACTTAGTAATTGATATGCCTCGCGCACAAAGTTGACAGGAAGATTCATTACGACGTCTGGACGTACGCTCAGAGAAAATAATGTTTTATTTAGACAGATAGCGTACCTACATAATGTAGAGAACATCTAGTTCACTTTCAAGGACAGGGAATTATAGAATATTTATGACAAACATATTTATTTTAAGAATAATTAAAAATTTTAAAAACGTCTTTTGGCTTTTGTAGATTTTGAATATAATTAAAACCAAAAATGTAGCTGTACATACCAGATACCATAACATAACATCACGCCTTTTATCCCCAAAGGGGTAGGCAGAGGTGCACACAGAAGTAACACCCACTTTTCACTATTTTTGTAATGAGTCCCATGCAATTGTGGGTAAGCCTATTGCCATATACCGGGCCAGACTCCGTGCTAATATGGGCCGGTGCTGCCGGAATGATACCACGGTTTCACAGAAAACCGAGGTGTCTCCAGTCTCCCCAATCCCCGAATCCTCCACAATCCTCAAATTCCTAATTCTCAAAAGGCTAGTAACGCAGTTTTAACGCCTTGGTATTTCAGGTGTCCATCGGTGGCCCCGATTGCTTACAATCAGGTGATCCGTCTGCTCGTTTACCGGCTCATACCATAAAAAAAGATAATAAATATGATTCTTGCCATCATCAATCAGTTTTTATTCACTTTCAAATAGAGGCTTCTCTCTCATACCACATAACTGGATCGAACTGTGATAAACCTTCGGAAGAACCATATTTAACATGCAGCAATTTAACCCAAAATAAGTTATCCTACGCCTCAGTTAACTTAATACAATTAATCGATGTGCTATGGTTGGCGTTATATCAAAATGTTTGTTGCATAGTATCACTAGCACATGTACCTACTCTACTCTATAAATTGTTTACTTTGCAATTCCGACTTTATACAAAAATGATAAAGTCGAAAATCGAATAAAGGTATTTGACAGAAAGGGGTAGGTCGATATGCTGTGCTGGCAACTGTATTTACATACATATGTTTTGTACGTGGGTTTGGTTTATTCACAATTGAATCATTGATACATTAGTTACTCTCACGACTTGACAGCTCGAGTACTAACTAATGTATTTCAAATTGATTTACTGTAGCTCATGTACTGTATGATTAGGGTTGCCACCTTTTTGTTTGGTATTTAAAGTACATTGACGATTATAGGTAAGAAAAAAAAGTACACAGTACAAAAATAAAGTACAATTTATTCTTATTTAGTATTATATTTAAAAATGTATTTTTTATTGCTTTTTGCAGTTTGTATTAAATTAGTATCTTTACTGAACAATTGCATTGAATTACTAAACCATTGCAACTTTACTAGAAATTGTCTAAGTGGCGCTGGCGAGTTATCGATTCAACATAAATTAATAAATATTGATATCGAAGCGATAAGTTTACCGAAAAATACTTACGTCTTTAATAGAAATGAAGTTTGCAAAAATAAAGTATTTTCATGTACTTTACCTCTATTATTCTTATAAAGTATAGAGTACAATTACCTTAAATAACGTACAATATTTTATTATAAAGTACGGGTGGCAACCCTATGTGTGATATAGTTCTAGAAGTTTCAAGGTCGTAGATGTTCCGTTAGTTAGTTGGTCGTCTTCATTTGTTTAAATGTCACTTAAAACAATATGGCTGCGTTGTCTAGTTTTGAAAGCTTTTATTAGTCATGATGTCTATAGTTTTGGTATACTTACTTCTTTGGTTTCTTTCATATATATTTTATCTATATTTCTGCCTAGGATATACGGTTTTAATTAGTAAATAGCACTGAGGGGTGTCACACCTTTATCTTATGAAGGAACAATAAGGTCTCACGTAATTAAAAGAAAACGAGTCTGCTACTTCGTCCGCTACACACATCGATATGAGTCCCGGCGTGACTCAAAAACCATCGAGCATGTTCCAAGAGATATCATATCTACAGATGCCGTGTTTGAATGATTTAACTATTTTTTTTTTGTTTCACATCAAAGTATGGTGAAGGAAAAATAACACGATGAAGACCACGTGTTGCACTTTTATATCATTAAAAATATATCCAATTATGTTTTCTTAAGAGTGTCAAATCAGTTCCTCACCTGTATGCATCCCAATCCTCAGCAGCAGTCGTTCTCCAGGCCGATGTGGTACTGTCTTGACGCGCACAGCGTTCAGGAGCGCGAGGGACATGCGCGCGATCTCAGCTGCGTGCCTGTTGCCATTGCGCATCGGTAGACCTGACACCACCATGTATGCGTCACCTATTGTCTCCACCTAAAGGACAAGCGTGGTGATTAATGCTCTAACCGTCTCCGTGTGAGAAGAGGCTTTGCTCAGCAGTGGGCATTAATAGGCTGTTGATAATGAAAGACAATGAAAAAGATGATTAAAACAATTACCTATTTGTGGATCTTTTAAGGAAATTACTTGCATTTTTACACCAACCCCACTCTTACCGTGGGTGTCGTAACAGTTGACTTAGGAAGGGACTGCATGTTTAATTGAGACCGAACATTAATACTCTCTGGCATTTCTGAACTATTTGAACGGTTTTTTTCAAACTGCTTTACAAGCGTGAATATTACGGAATATTACCCGTGCCTCCATGAGTTGAGTTCCACGGGCGCCTCAAAGAGTCATCAAACCACCAAATATGGGGTCCAGTAGGACTAATACCAGACCTGGAACTGCGGATGACCTAATGGTTTGCAGGGGCTGCGGCTCGTAGCGGGACATGCAACGGGTTGGTTTTTAGTCAGTAAGAGTCTGACACGAGAGGGACTCGCCTCATGATAACGAGGAGAAGTCATTGGATAATTTTCCCTATCCAAAAAAAGCGTGATATTATGGAAAATACTCTTATGTAAAAATAAGCCCATACAGCAGTATATTATAACTGGCTTTTATAATAATACCAACTTCAATCGGCGTGCAGCAATTGCATTTACAATTGTCCGAATAAGCATATGAAATAAATGAAAAGCTTCATATTAAATTAAATGTATTGAATACACAATCAAATTAATTGCCTTTATACAAAAGTAATTGATATATTGGATATTGTTATTCCTGGATTTCATTACCTATGTATTTAATTATATGTATGAAACTTTATCGGAATGCAATGAACCAGTGTTAAATGAGGCTGACATTTTATCAAATAGAGATATTATTTTCTCGATACAATTAATAAAATTGTTTGTTATAATAGAATAGATGACTAATTTTTATTTTAATGTCCGTCTGGTACATTATTTTAAAACATTACCTACCTATTTTTATTTTTTTACAGAAACGAATACTTTCGACGATATATTCATTTGAAATGTCCCGTGACGTCACTTCTATGTATATTTTATACGTAGAAATGACGTCTTAAGGCCCCATTCCTAAACTTTGATTAGTTGTATCTAAGTACCATTTTATTATATATCAAAATAAAAAATACGTGTCGAATATTTTTTTCATTACCTAACTGACGGACTAATTAGATTCCCTATGGTATCTATGTATCAACGCATCAAGCTATGCAATTCCAGTATCAACTGACCGGTGAAAGTGTGCAACGATCATACGAACCGAGACTATATTATAATAAATCGTTTTGTATAATTGTATTGTAACTTTCCTGAGACATACTAAATAAATTATTATGTTTTCGGCTTACTCACGTAATAATTTGACGAGGAACTCGACTAGTTTCAAGCCATGCTAGAGGCTCATATTCGAAATGCTGCTCATGAATATGAGCCTCTACAAAAACATAATAATTTATTCGTTTTGTATAACTTGATATAAAACCGTGTGCACACCTACCATAAAAATATTAAAAATAAATAAAAATAAATCTTAATACATAATTTAAACAATAAGGACCTTCGTCTGCAGAGCTTAAATGCCATAGCGTAGGGGGCGTCTCTGAAATGTCATCACTATGAATTACTTACCAAGGCTATTTATGGACATTAATTAATATTGTATGACAGTTCGGTTTGAAGTAAAATAGGTCGGTACCTTATAATTCATTGATTATCTACCTTACTTGTCAGTTTAGGATTGCCAGTTATTTGTTTCGAAAAACTTTATTTTTTTTATAAGTTTTTTCTTCAGAAATAGATATCACCCAATAAACTCTCCCGCCCGAATAAGGCGAGAGGGAAGTATCGGACACTTACTGACCAAGAAACCCGTTAACTCCTCCGCGGCTGCGTATCGGCATCAGGGCCCCATCTATGGTGGTCTGATGACTCCTTGAAGCTCCTTTTTACGAATTATTTAAAAGTCAAATTCAAAGCATTTATTTCAATTAATCCTTAACTCACTTTTGAAAAGTCAAAAATTAAATTGTCCGTCCTTCGCTCATTCCAAAGTGTGGTTTCGAATGGAGAAGAACGAGCAAGAAACTCTATGGCTGCATTTATTCCAAAAATGTCCGGTATAGTTGACATTAAAGTAAGTTAGTGTTAAGACACAAAATTAACATAATATCGTATCATTAATTCTTGTAAGGTATAATTGCCAGGCCATTGGACTAAACAACGAAATTTTTAAAAGACTCGCTCGAGCTCGATCCTAAATTTTGTGACAGAAAAACTCATAATTAGAAAATTGGAACTCGGAAATTCTAGTCAATCAGCTTATCAACTAATGAGAAGAACCCCTGAATCAAAATGAACATCATTCTCTCAGAGATTGCATTATTTTGAAAGATACAATATACCGAGCGCGCAGCTGAATCTAATAAAGTAAACAGCGATGAACGATAGCTAACTACATTGTGCGCAATACATCACTGTGTCCCACTTTTGTAGCAGAATGTAACAAAACCACGAGCCAGTGATGGAACGGAAACATGGATTTTACATCGTTTTATTTATAAAGTGTTATAACTCGAGAGAAATGATATCGTGTTCCTTGATTTTAGCTTCAGTTGTGATAGTCATTTTGACCTTTAAGCTATGATACTAAAGTTTACTTTCTAATAACGCAATATTACAGTATCTTTATTTTCTTTTCTTTAACAGTGTTGTGACTTAACAATGTAGGGATACTAGATTTAAATTACGAACTTCATTAGTATTTTTATATTTAATGGAACGACTTTAACCACTATCTCGCCTGGTGGTAAGTGATGCGATCTACGATGGAGCACGTTGTCCCATAAGCAACCTATTCACTTGATAAATATTTTTTAGAAAGCAGTTTTTCTTCAAATTCATGACAATAAAATCGCGTCCTACCAAAGATACCTTTTCACTGTATTAAAGTAAAATGTCGTGTTTTACCTTGATGGTACGTTTACCTACAAAAGTAATCATTAATGTTACGTTAAGGTGCTATAATCACAGAGTAACTAAAACAACAACAACAGCAATGTATGCCCAACACCTCATTGAATATTAATAACCAAAGTTTATTATTATAACCACACTAGAAGTTTCTGAATAAAACAAACTTAGTCTTACCTTAACTGCCTCGTTGATCGAGTAGCCATAACAACGTAATTGTTATCAAAATATATTGAATTCAATTTCGGTGAAGCGCAAAGTATAATTGGACTTTTTTGAAATTTTTCAATAATCACAACATACGGTTTATAGCAACAGGTTCACCTCTATTATATAGAACTCGTTATGAACGTATAGTTCACAAAGAGTGGGTGTTTTCTGGGATAAAAATTTGCAAATGAGCGAACAGGTAACTTGATGGTACTTCCTTGATAGCCTTCAGCACTGGTCAGGGATATCAGAAGAAGTTATAAGTACTTTACCGGCTTATACATTAAGCATACACCAGCCTCCTATGCCTAAATAAAGCAATGTTATATAATATGGTCTTACCTTGTATACATCGAAGTTCTCAATGATGGAATCGAAGCTCGTGTACAGATCATTGAGCAGGTCCACCACCTCCAGAGGCGTGGACTCTGCAGACAGCTGGGTGAAGCCAATGATGTCACTGAAGTAGATCGTCACTTGGTCGTAGGTCTCCGCCATTACTGGCTGGCCCATTATCAGCTGGGAGGCTACTGACCTGGGGAGAAAGTTAAAAGTTATTAAGGTTTATGGGCCATTCTGTATCTGGGACAAGCCCGCCACAACCTCCCAAAACCGCTGCAACTCCTATAAGCCAGGATATACAGAAAATAAAACTTTGTAAACACTCCAACACTGAAGTTCGGCGCGTCTCAGGGACATGAATAACTGTCTTGGTTCCCGCAACGAAGTGAATCAATAGATATTATAAGAAGAGAAGAAAAACACGATAGTTTCCACTTCCCTCAGTGTATTATTGCAGAATACAGAATGAATTAAGCCTAAAAGCACAAAAACAGACTGTACCTACAACTGGGTGCAGCCCAGTCGCCGACGTTTATAGGCCAGTTGATCGTAGTCTAAGGAATGGATTAAAATCATTGTTGATGTCTGTGTCTAACAAAAGATTTGAATCACCGTGATCATACCTGAATTCTAATGACGTCAGATTATCATCTACATCGCAACCTGATACATAATATATTATTAAGTACTACCTATACACATTAAACAGTTTTAAAACTTGAGTAGTTTTTGAGTAGTTTGTCTACACCACGTCTCACCACATACTTAAATGATTTTATGATTTTATTCTCAAATATATTTTAAAAAAGCTAACATATTCTGTAATATTTTATACGAAACTTTCATTTAAACTTGTGGCAATAACTTTATCAAACGAAACAAATCCTGATGCCACACAAACTCAGCTCCAACCGACATACAATATTGCACAACAAACTTGATCAGTTTAACGCTAGAAATCGATACATACCACTAATTGGCGTTACAGGATAACCGAGACTAACACTGGAATACAATTGAACTAGGAGCTGACCGCAATCTCTAGTGATATTCCGACCGAATATTCTAGAATTGTAACAATATTACAATTCTGGGAGTAAAATGAAAGGGAATTTCTGTTTGCATAATGCATTTTCACAGTTGGACAAATCTTTCTTATTTAATGATAATGAATATTGTTGTATTTGAATATTTTTATTAAAAAATACATACACATAACATCACGCCTTTTATCCCCGAAGGGGTAGGCAGAGGTGCACATAGAAGTAACACCCACTTTTCACTATTTATGTTATGAGTGCCATGTAATAGGGGGTGAGCCTATTGCCATATACCGGGCACATTTCCAGACTCCGTGCTACTACTGAGATTTTTAAAAAACCCCAGTAATACTTTGCCCGACCCGGGAATCGAACCCGAGACCCCTTGCCCGGCAGTCGCACTTGCGACCACTCGGCCAATGAGGCAGTATTAAAAATAGTATGCACCAATAAACATTAACTATATAGACTCTACGCTCGAGTTGAGAACTAAACACATAACAACACATGTGTTGCTTCTTTTAGGAAAGCAACACATTAGTTTTATTTAATTCTAAATCATAAGATTTAGTCGTATAAAACGACATTCAATGTTTTATTCTTCCATAATTTTTTTTTTCTTTTTGGCAACGGAGTCTCCAATACAGTGTTGTTGACTATACTGCCAGTGTCGAGTGGTGACGGCAGATTATTGGGCCGTCGAACTGAACTTTGTGGTAGTTTTAGTTGTTTGAAACTTACTAAAACTAATACACACACAATTTAACAGCACAATAAATAAAATATTTCAATTTATAACACTAAAATTGATATCGTATGACCGATAAAAACACGTGCGTAACCTTCACCACTACCAACGAAAGTCTTCCATAAATTCTTCAACATAATTTTTTTTTTTAAAAAATTGTTTAAAAAACCACAGAATATTTCACAATAGTTATCAATTCAAAATTAAAGAAAACCTTTTTTGTTTATATATAAAATAACGGGCTATTATTTCGTAACAGGTATTTGGAACTGTTATTTCTATCGAACAGGACCAGATGGAACAGATACATATAGCATTTAATCTATTACAACCCTCTCCTACTCTATGCCTGTCCAAAGTTCACATAGATAGACAATTAGTTTCAAAGATAGACAAAACTATATAATAAAACACAATCAACCCTTGTAACATTTTACGACTTATTTTCATTCCACTGTCATACAAAAATTACAGCGAATTCAATCAATCCAAATGTTATTATACATTCTAACAATAACCACAATTCAAATAATCAATAAATAATTAGACCATCAAAGACCTTAGAATACTGATTAATATATTTGTTGATTAACAATCTGATTAACAATGCTACGGCCTCCAGTGTACACTTGTGTTACCGCCAATATAATTATTATTACTAGGTAAACAATTGATCAGAGCTTCGGTAACGTTGTGTTTAATACCTTTGTGTGTGTTAGCTTTGCATAATTATTGTAAGAGTATGTTTCAGCCTCGTTGGCCGAGTGGTCGCAACTGCGACTGCCGGGCAAGGGGTCTCGGGTTCGATTCCCGGGTCGGGCAAAGTACTACTGTGTATTTTATAAATTCTCACTAGTAGCACGAAGTCTGGAATTCTGCCCGCTATATGACAATAGGCTCACCCCCTATTACATGGGACTAATAACATAAATAGTGAAAAGTGGGTGTTACATTGTAGAGTGGCATAATGTACACCTCTGCCTACCCCTTCGGGGATAAAAGGCGTGATGTTATGTTAGTATGTTTCAATTGGATTGTGAGAACAAATATTTTTATTTTCCTTAGTGCATCTTGCCTGGGATATAACACAGCTAATCTTAATATTATTTTAAAATCCTACACATCTACATACATTTACGAGAAGAACGAGAATGAAACTTCATTCGTTACTCGTTTAAAAAATGTATGTTTTACAATCTATAAAAAAAGCAAAACACACATGCATACTAAAACTCTATATAAAATAATACGTTTATATAAGAAAATCGATATCCTTCATTCGTCCTATTTAATTTTGATTTCGACTGATATTAACTTTGAGGTTAAATACTCTAAGCTTACTCTAGTCTATACTCTAGTCGTGGTGGCCCGGAGATTTAAGACGCCCACTTCTCATGCATGAGGGTGCGGGTTCGAAACCTACCAACGGCAAGTACCAATGTGACTTTTTCCGAGTTATATGTACTTTCTAAGATTATTTAGACACCACTGACAAACGGTGAAGGAAAAACATCGTGAGGAAACCTGGACTTATAATTTCCAATTATAAGTTTGAAATCGCCAACCCGCATTGAGCAAGCGTGGTGATTAATGCTCTAACCTTCTCCGTGTGAGAAGAGGCTTTGCTCAGCAGTGGGCATTTATAGGCTGTTGATGATGATGATGATGACTCTAAGCTTTGAGGAAACATTATCCATAATCAACTTGCGCTTTATACATGAAAACTGCGATTATGCCCATTATATTTTATACCCTATCACTCATTAAACAGAGTACCAATTTATCCATTCTGATAATATGTCTTTCAGACTAATGTAATATCTTACTTTGGTAGAAGCTGGTAAAGCAGTTCCTCGCACTTCCTCTTCTCCTCCAAGTAGTCTGAAGTCCTCTCCTCCACGAGAGCCTCCAGGTTATTCGCGTACTGCTCCACTTGTGTCAGCAACATGTCCAAACGTGTTGAAGTTTCGCAGTCCCTGTTAAAGAAAAACAAAGAATTACTATTTTTAATATAAAGTTTTGTGGCACAGTGTGTCCCTAAATTATGTTCGTTTGTATTTTCTTTTATAATATACAAGCTTTGCCCACGACTTCTTCCGCGTGGAGTGGTGATTTACATCTCCTCCCTATAACTCCTCCTTCAACATATTATCATGCTATCACTGTAGGTGTTAGTAGTATTCATGCAAAATTTGAAGTAAATCAATTCAACAGTTTTTGAATTCATCCCGAACATACATACGGACAAAAATTCTAAAAACAATATTTTTGGCGTCGGTATCGATCGTAGATCACGCCCGCCCAGGCATTATTTAAAAAAAAATATTTAATACAGTTTCCTACGATTTTATTATGTGTATAAGATAAGATATGGACTATTCTGTACCGAATCTCCCACTCCTAATACCCTGGTACAATAATAAAGTATTATAGAAACATCATATCAATAAATGATAAGGAATTCCGGGCTCCTCCATTACATACCCTACTTAATTGTTAAGTCTTGTCAAGATCGGCTTAAAGACATTTTTACTATAACTAATATAAGGATCAATCCCAAAGGATGCTTCAGTCGGCTCTTACAGAGAAATTGTTATTTGGTGCTCAGTACAGTTTACTATGTCTTGACAAATTCCCTAGTAATTATACCTTAGGGACCACATTGGGACGTAGGTCATAAATAATGGTATTACACTACCCAGCCCGATCATTTTGTGTTCTGTATTATTTATTTAATAGACACTAAATGTGTAGTCATTTAAGTCTCAATAAAATATGAACGATTATAAAGACAATATGTTGGCTTAGGAGATACATAAGATGATTTTTAACCAGTTCTATAACATCGATCTTCATTGAAAACTACATTTTGGTGTATGGACAGACATTTCAAAATTGATAAACTTAAATTTTTAACCCTATTTAGTGGGAAATTAAACGAGCAAGCGGATCACCTGATGGTAAGCAATCGACGTAGCTCATTGACACCCGGAACACCAGACTTGTTACAAGTGCGTTATCGACCTTTTAGGCATTAGGAATTTGAGGATTGTTGGGGATTCGGGGATTGGGTAGATTTTGGAAGGAGGGAAGGTTTAATTGTCCCTTCGGTAACCTCACTCACACAACGAAACACAGTAACACGTCGATTTTCTGTAAGGCCATAGTATCACTGCGGTCAAGCCGGCCCATTCGTACCGCAGCATGACTCTCCCACACTTAATATATTACAATAGGTTCAAAACAAACCCGGTGAAAAATTATAATATGAATTTAGGACACCTACTGTAATTTCACTTCTGCTTTCGGGATTAAAATGCATAATATTATAGAGAGCCCTTTTTACTCATCTACAATATCAAAGCATTGTTACGTAATGTTACGCTCGACGGGGGTGCAGTATCTGTAGCACGAGTGCAGCCAATCAGCGGTCGGCAATTCAATCAACCGCTTGAGCCTGCCCGGGAGCGGCATTATGCTCGTAATATGAGTTTAAGCCTATTGTTGCATCTTTATATATTGCTTTCGATATTATATCTTTTTAGAATACACATAGGTACACAATCTGATATGATATTATCTCTACAATAAGGATAAAGCGTATAGTGAATTGATGTACATAGTTATAATTGTAGACCCTCTATTTATTTTAATACAAACACAATTAGTTTCTTAGGTCCATCTGTATTTCAATCGGTCCAACCATGTTTTATAAAATCATGTGTTAAATACCAAAAATGTAACATTTCTTCTGCCCATACTAAAATTTAGAATAACCAAGCAACATATAGCAAGTCCATTTTACAAATAACGTCTGGTGTTTAAGTGACGCTCAAGTTTCTTGCATAATATATGACGTTCTATATCATTAAATATGCAAGTGTCTGAACAATGTGGTACATGCTGCCACAGAGGAGTAACTGAATTATAGTCTAGACGTTATATATCATGTTGGAATTTATTCCCCAAAGGATAGCGAAGCTCATAAAATTTGACATGTATTTTTATATATTTGTAGTGTTCTCCGTAATTAGGGGCAAGGCTGGTCATTTTTTCAATAAATTGAATCCACACTATAATTTTCTTCTGTATCGTGGACGCATTTACAAACATACATGTTAACATAAACTACCCAAACCCGGGACAACAATTTGTGTATCACATGAAATGTTGTTCCGTGTAGGAATCGAACCCGTGACACGGTGCACGGCAACTAGTTGCCTATTCACCGCGCCAACTATTCAGGTAGTTAAAGTGATAATTCATTTTGAAAATTACAAACTTCACTCAAATATAATCTTATACTATTATCTAAAGCGGAAGGTTTTGTTTTTTTGTTTGTTTGTTTGAACGCGCTAATCTCCGTAACTACATGTCTGATTTGAATAATAATTTTTGTGTTGGATAGCGCATTTATCGAGGATAGCTATAGGCTGTAAAACATTACGCTACGACCAATAGGAGCTGAGCAGAGCGTGTGAAACCGCGCGGAAGTAGCTAGTACTTACTATTATATAAAGCGGAAGAGTTTGTTTTTTTGTTTGTTTGTTTGAACGCGCTAATCTCAACTACAAGTCTGATTTGAATAATATTTTTGTGTTGGATAGCGCATTTATCGAGAATGGCCATAATGGCTATAGCTATCTATAGCCTCTATAGCCTCTATAGCCAACCAATAGAAGCTGAGCAGAGCGTGTAAAACCGCGCGGAAGTAACTAGTAATCACATAATTAGAACCACCTATAGCATTTATTTAATGATCTTACTTGTTGATCCTTTGTATATTTTCCTTGAGGGCTGAGAAGTCAGGTCGGTCGTCGTCTGGGAGTGTCCAAGGAGGTTCCCCAGTGAGGGACTGGCGTGGTGACGCTGACAGAGGTGATGTACCTCTGTTGCGCATGTCGGCACTACCTGATGTACAGAAAACAATAATTAGAAATTGTTTAAGATTGTTAAGAGCAAATAGGATAGATAATGGTATGCATAACGTAACTGCTTTTAGTTCATCATTTGTCTAAATATTCGTAGAACACAAATAGCTGACTTATTTCATTTCATGGCAAATTTCAATTTCAAATATTACAGACTGTTTCTTGCCAGTGACCCCTAAACTATTGCAATTTACATTAATTAATTTATCTTATTTGTATATTTTTTAACTTTTTTTTTGTATGTTTGTAATGAATAGGCTCAAAAAGTTCTGGTCCGATTTAAAAAATTCTTTAACCAATAGAATGCTACATTCTTCTAATTTGATAAAGGTTACATTTCATTTTGAAAAAAAATTAGTGATCCTTGGTAAAATTTGAACAATGTAATCGAAGGTGTAGAAAAATGAGTCTTAAAATGTCTTTCGTTGAATGCGCTGCCGAAACTATTAGCGATAGAACAAAATAATGTACAACAATATTGAAGAACATCATAATTTCTACAAAAAACTCCGCGGTAGCATATGTTCAACTATTGTAGTTATGTCACTACAACAATCCAAATTTCCAAAAATGAATAATTATCTACCCCGTGCGAAGCCGGGACGGGCTGCTAGTAACCCATGAAGACAACAAGGTTCTTATTTGCAACCACTTGTAACAGTAACAAATGTAATCGAACTAGTAAGCCATGAAAAGTAATGGGCATCTCAATGGCGTGGAACATTCTCCTATATTCCCCTTACAAAGTCAAGGCAAGATGAAGCCATTTATATGTTAATTTACAAGACGTCCAGAGCAACGTATTATATGCATTGATGACTCATTCTTTTGCCACATATGCGTTGAAACAATCTTTCTAAAGATGGGGAGAAACCTTGAAAGAAACCCTATTATTGCAGAGTAGTCTTTAATAGGGAGTGTGGTGGTTTTCACTTTTTTATGCTAGCCAGTAAACGAGCAGACGGATCACCTAATGGTAAGCAATCGGTGTCGCCCATGGACACCACACCAGAGGCGTTGCAATTGATTACCGGCCTTTAGGGATTAGGAATTTGAGGATTGTTGAGGATTTAGGGATTAGGAAAGCGTGGGGGGGATTAATTGGGCCTCCGACATCCTCACTCATACGGTGAATCACAACGCAAACGCTGTTTCACGTCAGTCTATTGTGAGGCCGTGGTATCACTCCGGTCGAGCCGGCCTATTTGTGTCGAAGCATGACACTCCCACACTTGTGTGAATTTTATGTATCCTTTCGATTTTAAAGGTATGTAAAATATTTGTTATCTAACATTAAAGTTCCTATGTTTCCAATTATCTCTTGTAGTTCAAAAAACTCATATAAACAAAGAGGACCTGCATCGTTATTTACATCCAAAAAAGGCACGGTAAAAAATACGGCTCCAAAAATATCGACGCATCAAAAATATAAAAATAAAAGCAACGTTGCAACGCCGCGCCGATCCGTTTTGGCAACGATCGAAATAAAACCGTTTTTCTTTTTTTTTCTATGGTGCCAGCACCTGACTCTATTTCATAGTGGATTTGGAAAACTAGTCGAAATAGTAACGAAACTTCACGGAAGGTTATGGCAAAATGTATGGGGAAAATGTGTTGTGGTACCCCAGTTTATCATAGGAAAATACTTGTGTATACCCGTATAATACAGTTATGGAAGCCTGTAAGGTAAATAATAATATACTGTAAAATATTTTAGAAGGGATTTTTTTCTAGGAAAATTATTTTATTACTGGAATCCAATTTTCAGTGATGCATACGTCGTGGTTGTTTTAAGCATCCGTGATAAGTATCAAGTTAGTATAGTAATTTGTTTATAATGGTGGAATAACAAAAAAGTTAAAATGTGTCATAGACTTTTAGTAATTTATGATTACTTACAATTTAATTTTGTTTAAATTTTTTCTTTTTTTACTTTCGTTTTATTAAATAGTTTAATTGTAGTTAATTTTAAGTTGTAAAAGTTAGTACTTTATTACTTTACTTATATTATGAATTTCTACAATATTGACACTTATGATCAGTCTGTTAATCACAAGAAAGAACAATTACCTTACATGAGTGATTCTATAAAGAAAATCGCAAAAGAATTGACGGCATCATTATCCTAAACCCAAAGAACAATTCTGCTGATAAAAACACAAAATTTAGATTCAAGAAATTGAGCCGTGTTATGCCGCGTAAGTTATTGCAAAGCAACGCGACATAATAATGATTTGTTGAATAAAAGTTAAAAGTTTTTCAGAGAAACACCCACATAGGTACTGTAAATGTTCTTCAGTTAATGCTTTATTTCATTTTCTGGTCTCATAGTACATTACGATGAAGGGATTGAGTTTAGAACCGACATTGAAACTTACGACTAGGTACTATCAAACGCCGAATACATTTAACTACTAGACATTCATAATAAAATACCATTACACATTTAAGTGTGGGAGAGCCATGCTTCGGCACGAATGGGCCGGCTCGACCGGAGTGATACCACGGCCTCACAGAAAACCGACGTGAAGCAACACTTGCGTTGTGTTTCGTCGTGTGAGTGAGGTTACCGGAGGCCCAATTACCCTCCCCTTCCCCAAACTCCCCAATCCCTGAATCCCCAACGACCCTCAAACTCCCAAAAAGCCGGTAACGCACTTGTAACGCCTCTAGTGTTCCAGGTGTCCATGGGCGACGCCGATTAACCATCAAGTGATCCGTCTGCTCATTTACCGGCTTATGCCATAAAAAATACATAATCAACTTACGTTTGAACTTGTCCTCCAGTATAGCGGCGCAGTAGTCGCAGGCCAGAGTGCAATGTGGCCTCCGCATTTCCAGCAGTGGACTCACTGCCCGCCGCGGACTGGGGGAGTCCGCACCCCCTGGCGGAACCAGGGACATTATTCTGTGGACAAAACAAATCAATTTTATTTTATTTAGATTTATGGTAATCTGTAGCAACGTCAAGAGGAGTGTATTTGTTAAATATTATTTTACTCAGTCGTTTTATATTTAATGTACTGCTGTTTATTGTCCTTGATAAATAAATAAATAAATAAAACAAATTTTGAATTAAATATGGTTTAGATAATTATGAACCCGTTCCAAAGTTTCAAAACTGTGAGCGTCTAATAATAAACCAATCATAGATCACTACTGGGAGATTTAAAAAAATATAGTAGCTACTAGTTAATTACAAAAATTAATTAAAAATGAATGTCATAACAATAGTGATCACGTAGCAAAACATGTTATTTTTCAATGCTCCCGTTAATATCGTTGATTTTGTTTTATTTAGCTTTATTAGTTGTATGGTGATGATCATAACATATCCTTGTTTATAACCATAACAGTTAACATTCATAGTTAATGAAGATAAATGTAAGGAGTAACATGGATTGATTGACAACTTCTACATGAATAAATAACCGAAGTCATGTGAAGTAACTAGCGCACGCACACATTCATGTTTATGTATCTATGCAGACTTTATATGAAGTCTTTTATATTACCGAAGAATTCAGATGAAAGCAAAGATGGATATTCGCTCTTAGAAACATTATTTTACGAGCTAATAATAAAGCAACTTGAGGCCTGAACTGCGTAAGAGAAAAGATACCTTCACCTAAAGAATTCGATTTGCCCCTTATAATGAAAAATTCGAATAAATTCATACTTTGATCAAAATAGCTAAGAACATTCGAGGCAGCTATTTTCATATTAACTACAGTATTAAAATAACTTCTATCTAAATTTAAACATAAATCATTTTGTGGGAATAGTGGTTGAAAAGTGACAAAAATAAAATGGGGTTTTGGTCTTGTTAAGCCAAGCAATTTTTTTTATTTTAGAGTTCTTTGCGATTTTCGATTTGTGAGTCACTTAAGGGGCCAGTAGAATACCAGCTCGAGGCCCTGTCTTCCACATGCTGAACTGGTCCCATTTCACCGCACACTTGGGACATTAGTAGATATATATAGTTAAACTTATGTGTAAAATCTGTATGTGTCACCTGTTTTTAGCGTGTGAAACAAAGTTTTTCTTTCTTTATTTATTTATTTTGGTTTTTTATTAATACACATTTTTAACTCTAACTGTATATTAATATACCCATCCTTTGTTAGGCTAGAAATAAATGTAGGTAACCTAAAGGGCAAACTTAGATAAATATATCTACATAGTATCCTACACATTTTCCACCAAAGTGCGTGGTAGAATAGACCAGGTTATACTCGAACTTACTATACAATAGCACTACGTGCCTAAAGTGTGGGAGAGCCATGCTTCGGCATGAATGGGCCGGCTCGACCGGAGTGATACCACGGCCTCACAAAAAACCGACGTGAAGCAACGCTTGCGTTGTGTTTCGTCGTGTGAGTGAGGTTACCGGAAGCCCAATGACCCTCCCCTTCTCCAATCTTCCCAATTCCTCTCAAATCCCAACGACCCTCAAACTCCTAATCCCCAAAAGGCCGGTAACGTACTTGTAATGCCTCTGGAGTTCCAGGTGTCCAGTGTTCCAGGCGACGCCGATTGCTTACCATCAGGTAATCCGTCTGCCCGTTTACCGGCTTATGCCATAAAAAAACGAATTACTAAATGGATAATAAAACGCAAAACCTGATAATAGATATAAAAAATAACCATATAAAAATCTCAGAGAACATAATTTCTTCCAAGAAACGGTTACATATTTCTTACACGATATCGCACCAAGAGCTCTTAACTTAGGGCTTAATAATCGTAATTAATTAAGTTACATACAATTAATTGGGGATCCCTATCATATTTTACCGAGGGAGCACAATAAATTTTGAGGAAGAAAATCCAATCGGCCCACAGGGTATATTATTAAGGTTTTACTGAACCTTCTACTTCGATGTACCTTATATTTCTTTTTATTTGCTAGTAATTGCCTCCCATTTTGAAGATTGGGAAATAAGGATCTGCTAAGGGATTTAGGGATCGTTTTGGGGAACTCCGGGATAATCAAGGTTAATAAAAATGGGGAATTAGTATGGGAGTTTGGGCTGTTTTCGCAATTTGTCGCAAATTAGATTGTCCTGAGGTATGTACTTTAATAAAGTTTCTGTATGGCCTTCACCTGATAACTTGGTAACCTAACATCCCACCTTTTTGCTGAAAAAAGGCAAAAAAAAGGTAAAACTGTGCTCAAAAGTAGTATTTATCTTATAAACTTTTATCTTCTTCGTATTTTTCTCTAGTCCCAAGCAAGTTGGAGTCAGCAATATGTTTTTCGCTTTTATGGCATTTCTAACAAGGTCAGGTTTATGTAAAAGGAGAATTTAGCTAAATCTAAAAGGAGACGAGTCTATTTTTATACATAATAGGGGCAAGTCCCTTAACGCCGGACTAATAACGCGAGCGATCAATTTTAGGGGAAAGTCTTGCAGTGGCAGACACCTTAGATTTTTAGTAAAAATTGAATCCCTTGTGTTATTAGTTATCGAGATAATACAAGTGTCCGGCTTTAGGTGCCGTCCGGCGTTACGGGACTTTCCCCTACCACTACAATATCCTTAAACACATAACCTAATCTAAAAGAATTCACTTGAAATAAGCAAATAATGAACTTAATGTGATTTTTCAACTCCTATATACTTCTACAGTCGCGTGACGTCACAGCACAAAGGCATGTAACATGACTCGGTACGAAGTAGGCCATGTTTGTGGAGTGACACTTCGCTCAGGAGCCCTCTCTATGCACAGCTTAAATCTACAGTCAACCAGCTTTGCAACGATAGAGCGAGTTAGCAAAATCGCGTGTTGAAAATACATGATGGAATTGATGGGTGGGAAATCCGTCTGGGGATTGTCTGGAATTTCAAAGTGGTGAATAATGTCGTATGTAGTTAGTAAATAGTGTTTTACACAACGTAAATTACAATTAAGTCATACTTAATTACAAAACTATTAAAATAAACCAAATGCATGTCTTCATCTTCTTTATATATATAACTAGGTTCTGCCCGCGACTTCGTACGCGTAATCCCATTTTTTCCCGTCCCCGTTCGTGATTTTCGGTAAAAAGTAAAAAAAAAAATTTGGTTAAAAATTATCCTATGTCGGTCTCCTGGCTCTAAGCTACCTCTCTACCAATTCTTAGCCAAATCTATTCTGCCGTTCTTGAGTTATAAGTGGTGTAACTAACACGACTTTGTTTTATATATATAGATTCTGCTGTACGTGTGTATGTCATTAAACACCTCCTAAACGGCTGGACCAATTTAAATGTTTTTTTTCTGTATGCGGTTAAGTGGCGCCCTGGTTTAGATTCACAAATCAGCCGAGCATATGGCGATGCAGTCAGCGTCTAGGTTATTTATCCTAAACCAACAAAAATTATAATTATTTTAATAGTCTTTCCTTTCATACACATGCAGGACAACGGCTGTCGGATCCGCTAGTCTAATACAGATTAGAAATAAGAGATAATGCAAAGACTACATCTTATAACTTTTTATGAATAAGAAATTGTCCATGGAAGGTGGGGACCCTTCGTACGGTTTCTACATTAAATTTTTTATACTTTTTATTTTTTTCTGAATCAATCATCCGATAGTTAAAATGTATAGTATAACTATTTGGGATTCATATAAAAAAATTACAGATGATTTCATCTGATGTTTCAACCATAATTAATGATTTAAAGTAAATCGGGAAATTGTACGAATCTGCCCCACTACGGGGTACCTACGTACAGTGCTGGGGGTACCTTCGTACGCTGTGGGGTAGTTCCGTACGTGCGATTAAAATGGCATATACAAATCAAAATTCTTTTATTAGCATTGAAATTAAACAAAAAAAATTACATTTAACTTCTATTAAACAAAAATAAAATACTTTTCTTACGAATAATTAAAAATTACAAAGCTTTTCTTCTTAAACAAAACTGAAATGACTTTTCTTAGAATGAACAAAAAATAAATTACTTTCATTTAACAATAAAACATGAAAATGCTTCTTTTTCTATGTTAATCAGTTATCTTAAATTTAAAATCACATTTTTTTAATCTTTGGTGCATGTTAGCACTTATTGCAAGTTGTCTTTAATTAATAAGATAATAAAACTATTGAACAGTAAAATTAGAAAGATCTGCTGAAAAAGTGAAAAGTTTCGATGTTCTAGAAGTACAAACTGTTGGAGGCTTAGGTTGAGGAAGAATCATTTCAACATCAGTCATATAAACAGTATGAATATCTTCAACATTAGGGAAAACAAATGTCCACGAAGAACCTGGCTTCTTCCTTAGATAAGAGACTTTAAATTCAGTTTGGCTAAAGTGACTGACAACTTTTCCTACATAGTAAATAATACTATTTTTCTTAGGGAACTTCACTAAAATAAACGAACCGTCTTTAATATTATCTGGTATTACATCAACTATCAGTTGGCTTCTGTTCATTTCTAAATTTTCAAGCTCGGTTTCATCTTCATCTGTGATAGAAGTTGAACTCTCTTGAAAGCTTATATCAGATCCATCACCATCAGATTCATCACTTTCTGTGTTTTTAGCTTTCTTGTTCTTCGTTTGAAAATTAAAATCAGCTAAACTACGTTTCATTTGTCTAGCTCTTCTTTCCTGTTCCACCTTTTTCAATTGTTTTTCGTTGTGTTTCTCTTCAATTAACTTTTTTTCGGGTGTATCAGTATAAATTCGTGATTTTCCTGGACGTCGTCCTTTGTTTGTTTTATTACTTCTAACAACAGTCGGATAGGGTCGAATTGCCTCTGGTGTCAAAACTGTTTTCAAAGGAGCTACTATTTGATGAACTAATGAATTATTTAAAGCATTTGGCTGCGGAGTGGGTGCTGAATCCTGTGTTCCAGAAGTAGAAGGTTGGCAGATATCAGAGACACTTGGCTCCGGATTAGGTGC